CCCCCGCCGTGCTGAGCCCCAGGCCCCAGTCCTCCCCGTGGCGTACGTCTCCCCAGCAGAGCTGGAGAGGCTCCCCCTTCCCCACTGCCCTCAGCCCACCGAGCTGTCCCTGGGGTCCGCACTCTGGGCAGCGGGGCTTCACGAGGAAGGGTCAGGCCTTGAGGCTTCCCTTGCACGACAGAGTGTTTTCTGATAGCTGGTGGTTCCAGCCCTGTAGGTTTCTTTCCAAGCCCCTCGGACCTTTTCTATGGGTGCCGCTGGGTCTCTGGGGAATGCTGCTTTGCTTTTTCCAGCTGTGAAGGTAGAGAACCCCCTGGGCCGGGGCTGAGCGTGCTTTGTGCCTTGTCTGTGCAGGTCTTGGACCCAGAGCTGGAGGTGGCAGATCTTGCATTCCCCCCTTCAACGATTTCTGCCTCTTCTCTCAAAATGCAGGTGAGTGGAGCGGGGAGGAAGGGGGACCCCTCCTGTGAGGCTGCCATCCCTGCTGGACACCCCATTTCTTGGGCACGGAGTGGACAGGCACGATTTCAGGCCTGTCTCCATCTCGGTGTTGCTGAGGTTAAGAGGCAAAGCACAATACTGCCAGGACACTGAGGCCACAGCTCCAAGCCATGGCCTGGAAGCCAGCAGTGCCATTTCAGTAGCTGGCCCGTGGACAGGGGCTGCCAGGTTTACTGCCGCGCTGGAGCAGGGGCTGGAGGCAGACACCAAACGTTTGGGCACTTCAGCGAACCCCGGGGCTGTGAGAGCTCCCTTTTCCTCTGTGTGCAGCGACGGGGAGGCAGAACAGTGAATCCAGCCTGCCGTGTCCCTTTTTCCCTGGAATCTCTGCCCGGTTTCCTGCCCTGCTTCAGCAGATGCTGACCCTGACACGTGGTTTGATTCCCTCGCCTCTGTGCTGGGTGTAAACTCCTGCCCCCGTGAGCTGGCTCGTCTGCACCCTCTGCCTGACCACGCTGTGACCACGCTGTCCTTCCCTCTTCACAGGATAAGGAGATCCGTGCCGTCTTCCTCCGCTTGTTTGCACAGCTGCTTCAGGGCTATCGCTGGTGTCTGCACATCATCCGCATCCATCCCGAGCCGGTCATCCGATTCCATAAGGTGAGGTGCCGGCACGGGCACACGCGTGCAGGGGCTGTTGGGCACCTCCGGCGTGCCGGGTCTACCAGCCTGGCTCTGGTCTGAGCAGGGGAGGCAGCTCCCGGAGGGGGAGAGCTGCTGCTGGGAGCAGTGTGATGGGGAAGGGAGGAAGCCTCTGGGGCTTGGCCAGGGAGGGAGGGCAGGGAACGTGGTTCTGCAGTGACTCGGCTCCGTCTGCTCTACAGCTGCCTGTCCCCGCAGCAGAATTTAAACCTTTTTAAACTGTTCTATGGAGTAACTCTCCTCCAGGTGGGTTGGGTGGAGGTTGGGATGAGTTGATCTGTGAAGAGGTTTGCACAAATACAGCTCTATCTAGAAGACAGTTCTGTGTTTCCAGCAAGTGACCTCTCCTACATCACTCCCGGGTCCACCTGCATCCCTTGTTTGTCCTTGGCCATCCCAAGGTCTCGTGGGTCAGACAGCGCTTCCCTGTTTATGCCCCTGTGTGGTCAGATGCACTGCAGCTGGCGTCCCGTGTGCCTGGTGTCAAGCAGCCTTTGAGGCTCACAGAAGGTGTCCCTCACGTCCTAGCCTGGAGCTGGGGATTTTCTTAAGATCTGGGGAGAGGAAGGAGGCAGGGCCTGCCTTCCCCGGCGCTTCTGGAGTGTTAGCTGTGCCAGAACGGCTGGCAGGGCAGGGAGAGCAGGGGAAAGCTCGAAGTGTTTGAGCATCCACGGAGGAGACCTAACGCAGGAGAAGGCAACAGATGGGGGAGCGAGAGTAAAGGGACTCGAGTGTTGCAGCTTGGCGTGGCCGCGTCACGCAGCCTGCAGCCCTGCTGCAGCCGTGCCCTCCCTGCTGCACGCTCGGGGTCGCTGAGGACAGGCAGGCAGGAGCCTTCCGGCTGCCTGCGCCTTCCCGCTCTGCCCAGCCCGCCGCGAGGTCAGGGGGGCAACACCTTGTGCCCGCAAAAGCGTGCCAGGAGAGTGCATGTGAGCACGCACGCGCCGTGCACGGCCTGGGCTCGTCCAACACCAGTGCTGCTCTGCGCTGTAAAGTGTGCTCTGGTCTCTTGACGTTTAAAAGTCAGCAGCGTGTTCGTAAGGGTTTTGAGCTATATTTTTATGCTCAGTGAAGATTCCCGACAGGTGCCCGACAAAGATTCAGTAGTTCCATAAAATCATAAACATGCAGTAAACATGAGAAAATGCCCTTTCATAAAAACTGCTATAAAATGAATAACGTATAACAAACTTCCATTTCATAAAATCATTCTGTTCAGCAACAGTATGCAGTACAAAATAGCCTGAATTTCACTTATTTAGCTGCTTTGGTCACAGCAGCATCTGTGCCTCTCTCACAGCGGGATTAGGGCCACGGGACTCAGCAGTCCATGTTCTGGTGCGGTGCCCGTGGCTCCAGCACCAAGCCCTGCGCCTCTCGGCTCCTTCCCCTGGAAAGGGGCTGGTCCAGCTCCTCCGCAGAGCGGCGAGGAGGGTGAGCGTAGGTGGCATAGTGGTCCGGAGGTCCCGTCGTGTTGTCGGGGCTGTGGGTGAGCGGTCCCTGCCGTAGCACCCTCATCCTGTCCCACTCAGTGCTGTGGGCGGTGTGCGGCGAGCGGGCGAGGGTGTTTGGAGGAGCACAAGCTGTTCCCCACCGGCTGCTCCTGAAGGCACGTGGTGTGCCATAGCCAGCGGTTCTCAGGTGGGGTGAGCTCCCACACTCATCTGCCGAGGGGAGAGTCCTAAGGGCTTTCTGCAGATACAGGAAACCTGGTGCTTCGGGCTCCCTTTGTGGTGCTGGTGAGAGGCTCCTTCAAAGCCATGTTTGGGAAGAGGTGGGCTGAACAAGCGTTATTCAGGATGAGGTCCTTGTCACAGCTGCCAGAAGGAGCCTGCGGCCGCTGTGCCCCTGCTTCCCCCGGCTTGCACACCGGGGCTGATGCTGGTGCTCTTCGCTTGCCACCGAGCACGTCCTGCTGCAAATGCGCCTCTCGCTGCTGCGGGCCAGAGGCGCAGGTTTCTGTGCAACCCTGCGCCTGCGTGGGACAGGGAAGGAGATGGCACGGTCCCACTGCTGCACGGGCGCCTGTCCTTCACTGCGGTAACGGTGTCACCCACGCTGCCACGTCAGCCGGGACGACTGATGCCTGGACAGTACTGCTGACGGTGCGCACTCTCCCCTCTTCCAGGCAGCCTTCCTTGGGCAGAGGGGGCTGACGGAGGATGACTTCCTCACCAAGGTGCTGGAGGGCATGGCATTCGCTGGCTTCGTGACCGAGCGGGGGGCCCCATACCGCTCGATCGACCTGTTTGATGAGGTAAGTGGCAGTTTAGGAGCAGCACCGCCCTGCCCGGCCGTCCTGCGTGTCCTCGCTCCACTCAGCTCTCCCTGCCCCTCGAGGGACTGAGCCGGGGATCTGCCGTGACACTCCGGCTGCAGTGTTGCACTGGGGGACGGAGCTGGGGTATGGGAAGGGTGGCCGGATCCTGCCTCGCAGGCAGCTGCTCCTCTCACCCCTCTCTTCTCCCAGCTCGTGGCTTATGAAGTGAAGCGCATGCGCACAGAAGAGGGGAACAAGCAGAAAATACTGCGGCACATCAAAGAGCTGGCGGAGAAACTTTACAAAAACGTGAGTCCTGGAGGCCCGAGCGCAGGAGAGGGAACCTGGCCGGAGGAGGGTATGGGGCAGGGAGAGCCTGGGTCGGAGCCCTGGTCAGTCTGTCCTCCCTCCGTAAGCTCTTGCTGGAACTGGTGCTCGCAGTGCATGATCCTGTCCCACCCTGCGCTCTCACGTGTGGCAGGGCACCTGCTGGTGGGCCCAGAAGCGTCTGGCCTGGCGTGAGCTGCTCCCAGGAGTGGGATTCCTTGGTTTCAGGTGGCCTGGGCATCAGGCACTCCATGCGTTTGCTCTGGAGCAGCCGCTGCGCTTGTCATCTGATCCAGGGCGGGCCAGCAAAGGTCTTCTGAAAGCAGAGCAGTGCCTGTGGGGCCCTCGGCCATCTCAGGATGGAGCTCCTGAATGGTGCTTTGCTCGCTGCTGTGTTCAGGGACAAAGCGAGCTGTCCTTGCGGCTCCTGGGAGCAGAGCGTGCCGGCACTGCTGCCCAGACAGCCTGCCCTCGGGGCTGCAAGTTTTTGAGGGTTGTAGATACTGGTTGGGAGAGTGTTTGGCCTCAGGGCAGCAGAGGTTGCTGAAGGATGCCTCGCTGGGGCTCCCACCCTGGGAGAGGACGCATGATGGCCACATGCCTGAAAAGAAACTGTCTTTGCTGTGCCAGGAGAACCCTTACCCTGCGGTGACCATGCACAAGGTGCAGAAGCCCACGGAAGGCTGTCACCTGCGCCTCCACCAGAAGCATTTTCCCCATTTGGATGAGGGGACAGTGCAGTGGATCATCGACCAGGCCACTGCCAAGCTGCAGACAGCTCCTCCTGCTGTGAAGGCAGAGAAGAAATGCATGGTGCCATCGGGACCCCCCATTGGTATGTGTGCGCAGAGGGCCTTTCCCTGCGGTGAGAAACCCTGCTCAGGAGGAGCTTTACCATGGTATAGCTGGCTGCCTTTCACACTATGGCACGTCCGACGGTCCCACGTGAGCAAAACATGGGTAGTGCCGCTGTCTTGGAGAAGCAGCAGCACTATCCCTGTTAGCTTCTGCCCCTTGGGCTGCTTAGAGCTCCCTGGAGTCTATCAGCCAGCATGAAGGGACAGCTGAAGACCCTGTAGCATTCTTCCATCATGAGCTCTTGGAGCCTAGAGCCCTGCCTATGCAGAACAGGGGAGGGGGCACCCGTCTCTCCCCACCCAGGGGGTGAAAGCTCTGCCCTGATTGAACTAACAGGCGATTCTCTCCCCAGCTGCCATCATGGAGCGCAACGGCAATGCCCTGGCCAACAGTGCCCGTCGCCTGGAGGTGGTCAGGAACTGCATCTCCTACGTCTTTGAGAACAAGATGTTAGAAGCCAAAAAGGTGAGAGTTGCTCTTGAGGAGCCGGTGGTTGAGGGGAGGAGAGGGGGGGTTGCTCTGCCTCTCCTCCCTAGCAGGCTGGAGAGGACATTCCCTGCCCGTGTCCAGATCTTTCCTGAGCAGCTCTGTTCCCATATGTTCACGTGGTCTCTCAGCGCTGTTCCTCCTTGTTGTGTCCCTGGGCTTTTGGCTGATCTCTCCACTGTGTCAGCACTATTTCTGCATCTCCCAGTGCCCCCCGGGGGTCTGTCCCGTGGCGATAAAACCAGGCTGGGGTCCTCCCCGGCCTTGCTGAGCAGGGACCTCCCCAGGGCTGTGCTCCAGCTGACCAGACGTGGGACTTTGCTCTGGTTTGCCTCCGCGTCCGAGTGCGGATGAGCTGTCTGTAAACACCCTGGTGTCAGCCAACACAGTCAAAATGTGGAGCCCCTCCTGCACCTCCTCGTTGTGGGCTGCCCTTGAACTCAACGTCTGACCAGAGCTCCCCTGGGCCCCGTCTTTCTACTCCATGACTACTTCTTTCCTCTGCAGTTATTCCCTGCTGTGCTGCGCGCCATGAAGGGCCGAGCAGCCAGGCACTGCCTGACCCAGGAGCTGAACCTGCATGTGCAGCAGAACCGGGCAGTGCTGGATCACCAGCAGTTTGATTTCATAATCCGCATGATGAACTGCTGTTTGCAGGTAGGAGAGGGCTGGGGAGACCGTGTCTCTTAGGGAGGAGCTCGTCTCCCCTTGTGGGAGACAGCATGGTGCAGAGTAGGTCTTGGGGGGTCTCGCAGTGAATCCTCTTGTAACCTCCGCTCTCTTCCCCAGGACTGCACTGCCATGGACGAGCACGGGATTGCGGCCGCTCTCTTGCCACTGGTCACCGCTTTCTGCCGAGTGAGTATCTGCAGTATCCTGACCCCCTGTACAGCCCTCGCAGACTCAGAACTCCTTGGAGGCCGCAGAGGCTGGCAGGCTGAAGGACTGAGAGCCAGCACTGCGGCCAGGCTGAGGGCAGATTGTCCCCTCGGTGCTTCTCAGAGTAGAGGGTCCTGTTCAACCACTCTCAAGGTTGGCCAGGCTGCCTGCACCGCTCTCTTGGCCCAAGGCTCCCAAGATGGCTGGAACACCTGCGGGAAGGGTGCTCAGAAAGTGGGGCTGCTCTGAAGTGCCAGCTTGATCTGTCAGTCAAGCTGGGCTGACATAAAATTCTGCCTCTCATAAAGTATCTGTAGCATGAGGCCCTGTGGGGCTCTGGGTGGGTGCTGGGCAAATCTGAGAAGGGTTTGCAAGGAATGCTTGGAGGAGCTCTGATGCAGGTGTCTCTTCTGCCAGCCCGAGGGTACGTTGCCTTTCCCAGCAGCAGGCTAGAGCAAGGATTACCTGGAGAGGAGGGCTTGGCACAAAGGCCATGTTTGTATGAAACTCTCTTCCACCTTCTGCTTCCTCAGAAACTGAGCCCGGGCATCACGCAGTTTGCCTACAGCTGTGTGCAGGAGCATGTGGTGTGGACCAACATCCAGTTCTGGGAGGCCATGTTCTACTGCGATGTGCAGAACCACATCCGAGCCCTGTACCTGGACAACAACGAGGAGAACCACACGGATGAGGTGAGGAGGTGACAACGGTGCCAGTGTCCCTGGAGAGGCGCTGCGCAGAAGCAGCTCCCCGCAAAGGTCCACGGGCTGATAAGGATGCTGAACCAGCCTGAGGGACTGCATCCTGGTTCTGGGAGATTCCTGTGGGAACAGCGGGGTGAAGGCTGGCAGGTCTCCTGCCCGTGCAGACGACTGACATCTCCTTTCAACTCCTTCAGGAGAGCGCAGAGGGGCCACAGGAAGCCAAGTCTGCCCTGGAGATAGCATCGGAGCAGCTAAGGCTCTGGCCCACCATGAGCCGAGAGAAACAGCAGGAGCTGATCCAGAAGGAGGAGAGCACTGTTTTCAGCCAGGCCATCCACTACGCCAACCGCATGAGCTACCTGCTGCTGCCTCTTGACACCAGCAAGAACCGCCTGCTACGTAGCTCTGGGCTGGGGGACGTGGAGAGTGTCAGCAACAGCTTTGTCACCAACAGGTAAGCAGGGCTGGAAAGCTTGGCAGGGCCATGCTGCAGGGACGCCAGAGCAACCTGAACTGGGGACGGTACCTGGGAACTTGGTGCGGAACCTGGGGCATCTGGGTCTTTCAGCTGCCGTCAGGATTGACGCAGGTCGCGGTGCCCAGGGGTGTTTCATATCAAGAGTAGAAACTCCCTTGGGCTTTGCCTGGCATGGGTTACAGCAGAGGAGAGAAGTTCTGGGTTAACTCTTCCCTACTCCTGTACGGCAGCATCGCTGGCAGCGTGGCTGAGAGCTATGACACAGAAAGTGGATTTGAGGATGCAGAGAGTTCCGACGTGGCCAACTATGTGGTGCGATTCATCAACCGCTTTGTGGACAAAGTCTGCACGGAGAGTGGAGTCACCAACGAGCACCTCAAGGGGCTGCACGTCATGATCCCTGGTAATACGCCTTGCAGCAGTGCTGGGGAATGGGTGGCCGTGCGATCTCACTGGGGATTCTTCCAGACCAGCTCAGGGATCTGCTCAAGAGATGGTTCGGCAAGAAGCAGCGGGAAGGGCAAGGGAAGGCACGCACAGTGCTACGGGGCGGGTTGGCAGCCCGCTGGGTGGTGTGTAGGACAGGACTTTGCTTGCAGTCTCTAACTTCATGTTTGTCCACAGATATTGTGCAGATGCACATAGAGACACTGGATGCCGTGCACAGGGAGAGCAAGAGGCTTCCTCCCATCCAGAAGGTAGGGACCTGGCCCGCTGCAGTGGGGGGGAAGGTTCTGGTCCTGTATGGGGCTATCAAGCCCCCTTCCGCAGTCTGCATGGGCCTGAACTTCCTATTGTACATCCCCGTAGCCAAAGCTGCTGCGCCCCAACCTGTTGGTGGGTGAGGAGTGTGTGATGGAGGGGCTCCGTGTGTACCTCATGCCTGATGGACGGGAAGAAGCTGCTGGAGGGAATATTGGTGGTCCACCTCTCCTCCCTGCGGAAGGAGCCATCTTCCTCACCACTTACCGCATCATCTTCAAAGGCACTCCCACGGACCCTCTGGGTAAGGGTCTTGTGTGCACCACATCTTCTGTCTTCAGGGGTTGGTAATGCCTGGGGAGGAGGTGGCTGGTAGCTCTCCCGGAGCAGTGGCTGCAGCTCATCTTGCTGCAGGAGTTGACGATAAGGGCCTCCGGCGGTTGCCTTGGGTGAGTGACCAGCCAGCACTGGGCCTTGCTGGGGGTTACCACAACTACCACAAGCTTGGGGGTTGCTCCCAGTACTACAAAAGGGGTGGTTACTCTTGCTCTCCACCTTTGGTAGATGATAAATCACTCATGCCCGTCCTAGGCATGAGCTACAAGTCGCCATGGCTGTAGTATGTCTAACCTGTTTCTGGCCGCCTTATCCTACGGGGGTCTCTGTGGTGGTGGCCACCGAGGGTGGTCCAGCGTGGCCTGGCCTTGTGCTGGGCTGAGGCAGCAGGATGTGGTTAACCTGTTCCCATGCTTGTGCCCAGTGGGGGAGCAGGTGGTGATCCGATCCTTCCCCATCGCCTCACTGACCAAAGAGAAGAAGATCAGTATCCAGGCCCAGGTGGATCAGTTCATCCAGGAGGGCTTGCAGCTGCGCTCGTGCACATTCCAGGTGAGACCGCGTGGGGCTGTGGGCTGCTCCTTTGCATTGCACTGTCTCAGCTGAGGAGCACATTGCTGGTGAGACCCAGCAGGTATGTGGCCATGGCTGGCACCATCCCTTGGGACGAGGCACTCGCTGCCCGGGCTGATGTGGTTTGGGGGTAGTTTTCCTGATGGGACCAAAGTCACCTCTGTAGGTGACTGCACCTAAGGGGACGGAGCTGGAGGCCCCCTTGTGGAGGAAGGAGTAGGCTGTGGTCCATAGAATGGTTTGGGTTGGAAGGGACAACCCCCCTGCCGTGAGCAGGGACATCTTCCACTAGATCAGGTTGCTCAAAGCCCCGTCCAACCTGGCCTTGAACACTTCCAGGGGGAGGGGGCATCCACAGCTTCTCTGGGCAGCCTGTTCCAGTGTCTCACCACCCTCACAGCAAAGAATTTCTTCCTAATATCTAATCTAAGTCCACCCTCTTCCAGTTTAAAACTGTTGCCCCTCGTCCTATCGCTACACTCCCTGGTAAAGAGTCCATACCCATCTTTCCTGTAGGCCCCATTTAAGTACTGACAGGCTGCTATAAGGTCTCCCCAGAGCCTTCTCTCCTCCAGGCTAAACACCCCCAATTCTCTCAGCCTGTCCTCATAGGGGAGGTGCTCCAGTCGCAGTCCTGTTGTATGCAGGAGCAACTTCTTGCTCGTTAGCTGGGGGCTCCCTTCCAACTGCTCCAGTGTCTGCTGGAGCCCTGAGAAGGTGTTGAGACATCCCCACGTGGCACCCTGGGAGGTGGTTCTGCAAAACCTTGTGGCAGGTTTTGGGGAGAGAAATAGAGCAGGGAGAGATGCCACAATGCGAGTAGTTATTCAGCATTTTACATCTTTGAGAGACTTGCGGAGGTAGAGCAATGCTGGGAGGAGAGCACCTAAAACACGCCGTCTGCTCCTTCCTGCCTATCTTGCATGCTCAGAGCCACGGTGACCCGGAGCAGCAGTGCCGGGTACGGAGCGGTCTCCAGGAGGGAGGCGTATGGGACAGAGTAACTGGCACGGAGGGACAGACAGGGCAGCCTGGCCTGTGCCCGTTGCGGTCCCTGCTCCCGACTGGGATCGGAGCTCTGCCCTGGGCTGTGGGAAGAGCCGGTGGGAAGAGCCCTTCCCAGTCCCCTGGCCCAGCCGTGCTGAGCACGCCGTGACTGACCCTTCAGCCCGCTCTCCGCTGTTCCTGCAGTTGCTGAAGATTGCCTTCGATGAGGAGGTGGCTTCAGACAGCGCTGAGGTCTTCAGGAAGCACCTGCACAAGCTGCGTTACCCTCAGCACGTGCGTGGCACCTTCGCCTTCACCGTGGGCCAGTCACCCAAGCAAGCCATGCAGCCCAAGGCCAAGGAGAAGAACCCCTCGCTCAGGTACCCGTGCGGTGGGGAGAACAGCACGTGGGATGCGCTTGACCCTTTCAGGCACCGCAGGGCTTCTCCTCTCCCTCCTCCAGCCCACCCAGCAGAGAGCCGCTGGGCAGGGGTCACCCGAGAAAAGCTGGGGCACAGACTCCTGAGCTGGAGGTCAGGGTCCCTGAGCCTACCTTGCTCAGACCTCTCCTTGCACAGGATCTCCACTTGTCTTTGGGAGGGGACGTGCTGCACGTCCGGCAGCAGTCTCCTAACCCCACGCCGAGGACCGGTCAGATTTGGGAAACAGGGTGTTTGCTTCAGCGGCATTCCCTGCCCCGTTGCCCAGGCCACAACAGCGCAAGCCCCGTGGAGGTGTCTCACGGGAGAGGTTCCAGTGGGCACCAGAGAGCAGTCTCTGCTGTGCCGGAGGACGGGGAGCGCTGTGGGGCGGCGGCAAAGCTCTGTGCGTGGTGCTGACCTGCGGCCAGACCCTGCTCCTGCGCTCGGTGGCTAGGTTAAGCAATGCTGTAGCGCTGGGGTCCGGTTGCTGCTGTGTTCGCGCTTGGTGTGCCCTGGAGTCTAAGCGTCTCTCCCGTGTGTTTGTGACTCAGCTCCCAGCAGGTGACCGATATGTTCCAGGGCCTGACAGTGGGGGTCATGTCCCTTGGGCACCTTGGCCATTCAACCACGTAAGATGCCTTCACCCTGGGCAGGAGCTTGCAAGGTGGCATTGGCTCAGGCTGCAGCCTTCACTGCTCCCAGGGTTTCTTCTCACCTGCTCTGCATGCGAACTGGGCTGTGGGCTTGTCACTTGGGGAATGCCCTTTTCCAGGCTGCCTGTCTGACGTTCAGGTTTGGGGTGCGCGCTCTCACCATCTGCGGCCTCCGGAGGCGGTCGGTCATTCTAGTGCTCCATGGCACTCTGGTGGATCCCAGGACGTGCTGAGGGAGCTGTGCCTGTACCACTAACCTCCAGAGACCTCTAGAGCTGCCGGGCCCAGCTCCGGTCCTGGGCACAGTCTCAGAAGTCTGTCTGAACTTGCGAGATGTGCTTTGCCACCCCCCTCCAAGTCTGCTTCCAGTGCCCCACACTACCTGCAAATCTTGTTCCTCTGGTTAGAAAGCCCTCCCGTTCCTAGCCTCCCTACCTGAGCATTTGTTCTCAGGACAGCGTTCTTCCTTGGTCCTAAGGCTTTCCCTCCCTTGGTAAATGTAGGGAGCAGTTGGATTCCCTCACCGTCTGCTTTGCGAAGCAAAACAAGGCACCTCCTAGTCTCACTTTGGCCCCTGTCTTGATAAGGTGAATTTCTAGAAGTCTTTGCATCAGTGCAGCTGTTACCCTGGGTTGGACATGGCCCCTTCCCTGGCTGATGTATATCCCACGTCTTCCTTTACTTGTTCCCCTTTGAGCCCAGGGGCTCACCGAGGCGGTGCGTGAGGTCCTGCGTGTGGGCATTCCCGCCTTCGGGAATTCCTGCCTTCCGGAGCTCTGCCGTGCGGAGCCTGTTCTGACCATGCAGCCTAATCCCCCGTGGTTTTTTGGAAGGTCTCCCTTCCCTGCTTTCCCCGGGCTGCCCTCGGGAGTGGCTGAGCCCAGCTGTGCTCTCCCTGTCCCTTACGTGGCATCGAGCAGGTCACCTTACGCAAGCTGCCTCCCCCCTGCCCAGGGAGGAGCAGCCCTGTGTCCAGGCTGGGCTGGCAGCGCCCCTGCAGTCGATCCCCTCGCCCCTGAGCTGGAGCCCACCTCCGGGGATGAGCCAGATCGCTGCCTGTGGGAGCCCCGATGCGGAGGTGATGGCGTTAGAGCCCGGGGCAAGGCTGGCTTCCCCTGGGGGCGGGAGGCCGGGGCGCCTGCTCAGCCCGGCTGCCCTGTCCAGCCTCCCCGGGCACCCGGGTCCCCCCAGGGGAAGGCAAGCACTGTAGGCTCTGCCTCTGGCTTGGTGCCCTCCTACAGCTGAGGAATCGGCTCCTCCCTGCCGGGGAGCTAGCCGGTGACATCTCCCCTCCTGTGGCGACAGTGACTTTGACCCCGCGCCTGTAGCCGGTGGTGAGGGGTGCTCCCGTCTCTGCTTTGCTCTCGGTGTGACTGAGTAGTGGTGTCTCTAACCCTTCAGGGGCTGTTCTTCTGGCTGCGCTGGGCTGTGGTCATGCACGTGCGGGAGGTGGTGTCAGCTGGCCTCACCCTCTTCTCTGGTTCCAGGACACTCTCCAAAAACCTGGTGAAAAATGCCAAGAAAACAATCGGCCGCCAGTATGTGACGCGGAAGAAATACACGCCGCCCATGTGGGAGCAGCGGAGCAGCCAGCACTTCCCAGAGGACAACGAGGATGAGATCTCAGGTTGGGAGCACCCTGAGCAGGGAAGGGAGGCTGTGGGGAGCGGGGCGTTTGCTGGAGCAAGAGCATCTTTCAGCTGGGAGAGGTCTCGGCCATCACTCTGCAGGGGAGCAGGCGTGGGAGCTTTTGCGGTGCAGAGGATTGCCACCATGGTCGCCTCTCCAAGTTCTCGACGGTCCGCCAGCTCTCGTCTGCTGGTGATGGCCAGTCAGCAACTCAGCATACTTCCAATACCTAGCGGGCCCTGCGGAGAGGAGGGAGTTCTTTGGTCTGTGGCCTCAGCTCCTCAGATGAGAAGTCAGGGATTTAAGCTGCAGCAAGGCGGGTTAGGTTAGGCATGAGAAGAGCTTGACTGGTTTGAGAGTAACAAAGGACTGTGTCGTGGTTTAGCCTCAGTCGGCAACTGAGCAGCAGTTCGCTCGCTCACTCCTTCCCCCCCCCCG